TAAAGCTGATGCACTAAAGAAAGAAGCTGAACGGCTCAAAGCTCAAGCTCAGAAGGCAGCTGAAGCGGTAAAAAAAGCAAAAGGTGACGCCGATAAGAAGAAACCTGAAGTGAAAGCTGCAAAAACGAAAGATAAACCAAAAGAGACACCAAAAGAGAAACCAAAAGAGAAACCAAAAGAGAAACCAAAAGAAAAACCAAAGAAAAAGGCCAAAAAGGAAGCAAAAAGCAAAGGCAAACCAAAGGAACAAGGAAAGAAAAAGTAGCCATGAAGGAAACAAAGATAATTCAATATTTTTCTACATAGTTAGATTTTTTATTTATATTCTTTACATTTGCAACTTTATTTTTTTAAGTAGATACAGAAGTACCTGCGTAAAAATGTTGTTTAATATTAATACTAGGCTCAACGACCTAAACTGGATGTTGGCCTCCGATACGAGCTTTCGTCATATCTCGCGGTTCTTGCTAGTTTCTTGCCAATTCGGTATGTTAAGTTTTTTTGATACGTTTTTATTTTCTTTTGTTGATAAAGTTATTTCAAACAACTAATTTTAATATTATAATTTTCTATGAATTGGTTACTTGATTTTTTAACTTTTATTCGTGAACTAGGCCGAATAAAATGATTCCTTGGCATAATAAATTTTTAGGCATTTTAAACCTTCACGCTACGGTCATTAGCCATTGCTTATAGGCACCGATCAGAGCGGAGGAAACCGCGTAGTAATAGCTAGTCTTAAATTATAAAGTACTAAGTTTCCTCGATTGGGGCTGCGAACCATGAAATTCAAGGTCAATAATTGTTCCTAACTAACCCAATTAGTATTTGTAAGCTAATTATCTTATGATACAGAATGGTAGTACATATCCGATTTGGACCCAATATCCAACAAAAAATAGGTATTGGGTTGCATAACACTTAGCAATAGGTATCACGGATTCCCAATCAAGTTTGGATGGTGCTCAATAGGGCTACAAAACACGATGTCCAAAAAAGGTTGACCATCGTAGTAACTAATTTGTATTCGTACGCTTGTATTAATGGGTGAATAATGATCTGTCTCGAACCAACAAACAATTGATTTCATAATATTTAGTAACAGCACGCAGTCTACTAAAACGACAGCAGGTTTTATGGTATAAGCTGGTACACGAGCAGACGGATCACCTGATGGTAAACAATCGGCGTCGCCTGTAGACAGCAGAAACACCAGATGCGTTACAAGTGTGTGGCCAGCCTTTTGGGGGTTAGGAATTTTAAGATTGTTGGGGATTCGCGGATTGGGGTGATTGGGTCTATAATAACCTCACACGATGAAACATAACGCAAGCGTTGTTTCACTTCGGTTTTCTATAAGGCCGTGGTATCACTACGGTCACGCTGGCCTATTCGTGCCGCAGCACGGCACTTCCACACTTATATTGAGCAAGTATAGGTAATAGATAACTAAATATAGGTAATAGATAG